GGGGGGGGGGGGCGTGGTTTCGTTCCATTTCAAAGCCGTAACCTTGGCCCACTACCACTCCAACATCCAATCCCAGAGCTTGAAGATTAATCACGGGGACAGTAGTCCTAAACGATAGCTGGGGATTATGGGTAGTGTAGTGTCTTCGGCCATCCTAAACTCCGAAATGTTTTTCGGATTTCATATCGCATTAACACCATATACCTACGTGCATTGCGGCTAAAACATCTAATCAGCGAGCTTAAACCATAGCTGAGGATCTTGGGTAATCAGTTCAGTGGCTGTGTATCGCAATGATGCTCGAAATGTCCCTTACGTCTGTTCCTACGTCTGTTTCTGGTTATTTTTATTTTGACGCCAAAAAAGCCAGAGATTATAGAATTAAACAAGTAAATAAAAACAAGGATAATTGTGTGTTATCGGTGAGTAAATAACAGTGTGTTATTTAGAAAAGAATAACAAATTAGAAGGAAAAAAAATTAAAAGAAATACAGATTTCAGTATTTTGAGGCTCTGAGCCCCATTTCTTTTCCTCACAAAAAAAGTCTGACATTATACGATTTAAAATAAAAACAATTATCGTGGCTTGATATTGAGTAAGAAGATGTTTTTATGAACCCCACAGCTTCCGGTCTTCCAAGACCCGAACGGACAAAAAGACGTGCTGCAGGCACGAAACAACGTAATAGAAATACATTGCTTTTAAAATCGTTCTGTGTGACATGAAAAAAAGGAGAAAATCGTGTTGGTGAGCACGAATCAATAGATGAAATGTCGTGACTATAACACGAAATGCCGTGAGAAAAAAAAAAAAGAAAAGATCACTTAGCTGAGTTTCTTATAAAACATTATTGTATATTAAGAAGTCCTCAGACGCTGTTTCCTGCAGATGACGCGTTTCCCCCCCCCGGTATTGGGGGGGCGGTGTAGAACAGGTTAATTTGGTCTGTGCAGATATTATTTGTTTTCTCCTTGTATTGAACCGACTGCAGAGTTTAAGTCAGATCAACTGGCTTCTTTCTAACATGTCGTTGAGCTTATACTTAAAGTATAGCTCATAAGGCAAAAAAACTTCCCCTCTTTCAATAACTAAAGTACATCAAACCAAAGAGCTTAATGCTGCTGAATAACAATACAGGAGGGATGAGCCAAAACTATCAATCTCTGCTTCATTGTATGATAATCTGTTTTACTTCCACCTGCAGAGTCTGATGGCAGCTCTCATGTTGATATTTTAATGATGCTTCACACATTACTCTGTTGTAAAGATAAGTGCTTCCCCAATGATGAATTTCTTTCTGAAGAAACAAGAACAAAGGAGCTAAGTGGTTAAACATTTGGTGAATGCAGAAACACAGAAACAAAAAGTAAAGTATTTTGTTATGCTTGCCAGTATAGGCATCTCAGTGGTGGTTTCCAATAACTGGAGCCTTCGCCTGTGTTGCAGCCTGCTAATCAATGACATCCTTACAAACTCCATATCCTCACTCGGATTGCTTGCAGACAGGTTCTTGTCACACTCTGAAAACTCATCAGCTTTGCTTCCACCAAGCAAACAGCCACACATGTGCGTGGGATCATTTTCAGAATCAGAATACGATGGGGGAAATTGGGTAAAACATATTCAAATAGGGTATGAAGAAATCCTGTTGAGCTGTAATGTGGCAGATAATAGTTTTGTTAAACCTGTGTCTTTGAGCCAAACTGATAAATTTTGTGCTGAATCACCTGGCGTCAGCCTGCTGCAGGCCCACTCTTTAGCACTGGGTGGTAGTAGAGCTCTATTAGAGACTGCTACTAATGCTTCTGATACTATAGCTGCCACATTGAGGGAAGAAAATACACAAGATATAGAAATAAAATAGCATAAAGACTTAACTAGGACTAACAGAGAACATGAGGGCGATACTAAATATATTATTATTGTGCCTGGAAGTATTATGTACATGGCTAATGATAGCCTATAAGGCACATTAGTTCTTACAGTGATTTTTTGGGGGAATTTCACATATTTATACTACACAGTAAGCTAAATATTTCTATACCAGTTCAGTTATATTCATTTGTATGGTGTAAAATGTTTGAACGACAACAGGAATGTAATAAACAGCTAAACGTACAAACAATAATCATAATAATTATATTGAATTATAATATTTACTTATATATTATATTATTTTAAACAACATTATAATTAAAACTTTAATAAAATGAATGTCATAAAAAGGATTCCTGAGTTTGTCCTAGAAAAAAACCCTCAACGTTTAGGTAATTCGGCAATATCTATTGACAAAAAAAAGTAAAATCAGCCGTTATTTAATATCTTTGCAATTTACACTAGTCTGGGATAGTTAAACAACAGCAAGACTATGTGGCTCTTTAATAAAAATATGGTACAACAGAAGGCAATTGGTTGAGAAGAGCCATAAAGCTAGCAATGATAAGTTAGCGAAGTATGCTAGCTAACATTAGTCTAAAACAGCCTATATTTCATATCTGTGTAAATTTCACTATCATCTGTTTGTTTTGTAACTTTAAGTGACAATTAAATAAAAAACATAAACAGTATTTGCTTTTATATAAGGGAATGAACAGTTTTATCTCCACTGTACATCTGGGTCTCTGATTTGATTTAGTTCCAATAAATCGCAATATTGTAAACTTTTTTTGGAGGGGGGCCACAGGGGAGTTCCTGGTCAGTGTTAGGGGGGCACTGGCCCCTGTTGCCCCCCCCCCCCATACCGCCCCTGCTTAGGAACTATTTATCTGGAAGGAAAATAAAGTCTAGTCTTGCTTAAAACACAATGAAGAAAGAATGTTGTTCTCTTAAGGTTTACACTGTATAAGTTAAGAGAAGGCCAGAAAAAGTAGGATGATGGAGGGATAACAAGAAGGACTTTTAAGGACTTGAGGGAGTGCAGTTTGAGGACTGTTGAGTGGAAGATGGTCATTTTCAAGAGTAGACAAGTTCACAGACAGCTCCTTGAATGGCCTGTCTGTCTAAAGAACTGTAGGATTGAGAGCTAAGTGAAGATGATAGACAGGTAACAGGCCATCAAGCTAAGCATGAAGTAGAAGCTTTTCCACATCACCAAAATAAAGTATATCATCGTAGAGAGTGCTACTGCTGACTTAGTCTAGATTTATGCTCAAAAGAGTGATAATTTAGGGTAATTCCAAAATGAACATGTTGTCTATCACAAAGGTATAGGACATAGGCAAAGTGGAGGAAATAAGTTGTTATTAGCCCCAATGTGTACATTTTATAGAACCGACTGATCCTCAGCAAAACATATTTCCAGGGAAGACTGAATTATTACTATAGTCAATAACTGGGGAAGAAATCGACCTCAATACCACTAGATTTGTGTTGAGGATCAGAGTGCAATTGACCAATCTGATAGCATCCAGTCAAATTGCAGGGGAGACCCATACGGACAGCGCCGAGAGAACGAATGAGAGAATCTTCCAATGTTTCAATATTTCATACACTTAACGATAAGTAATTGATTATAGCACTAGCATTTCTGTTCAACTAAAAATAAGAGTGCACATTTAAATCACTTGAGGTTAAATTTTGATGCAAATAACCAAAATAGCTAACAACCAAATGTGAATTATTTGGATTCAAGCCATTTTGAACTTTTCAACTGCAGGATGTCTGTTTTTTTCATCTTCTTTAAGTGGATGATCAGGTTTAAAATAAGACTGTGGCTTGACAATACAGCGTCCTTTAACATAGGACCATAGTGCAAATAGAGTCCATCAGTGTTCAATATAAATCCCATGAGGAGTTATTTGCTAAATTGCTTCAACCACTCCTAGTGTTATAGTATTGCTGTAGTAATGCAATTTGTAATGCATGTGGGATTTACTTCCCAGCATCTGGATAATGTGTTAAATGTGTGTGTGTGTGTGTATGTGTGTGGGTGGTGTAATACAGCATGTTGTAACTGAGATGCTCTTCACAACAAAAAGGACACATTATTTATTGAGGAGGAAGTCTGAATAGCGTGATAGACCAAGACCTAGCACTGCTTCCTGCCACCTGCCCAATGTAAAGAATGACACATTTTGTGTTTGGCCACCAGCGATTTGGGTATATTAGTTTTTAAGGAAAAGCATTGACAGCATTTGTTTCTAATTATGTAGCTTCAAGGGCCGGGGTTGTGGCTTAATATTTTATATATTAAAAAGGACATGTCCCCTTTTTATGAACCCAAAAAATCTATAGTCAATCCAAAAGATAGAAAGGTTTGCTTGTCTTGTCTTCAGCCTAGATTACTGATTACAAGTGTTGTGTTCAGTGAGGCATTAAACAGCCTTTGTTTGGGAAGAGGGACAGATGGACACATTGGCTGAATCAGGGAATGTTTGTGCTGCTATATGCAATAAAGCACACCCGGGTGTAAAATCTCAAACCAATTCATTTCATGAGAAAATACAGTTTCCCTGCTCACTGTCAACAAAACAACAGCTTTATAAGATTCTGAAAGAACATCACCTCCAGCCAGCCATCAGGGAAGGGTTGTTCACAAACATTTCAAACTTTGGAAGAAAGTATAAATGATTAACTTAAATGTTCTCGCGAAAAAAAGGAAGTAATAAGGACTATGTGCTGCTTTTGTTGAAGAGTATATAAAAGCTTATAGAAATCTAGTAGCTTATTGAAATGCTTTCTATGCAGGTGTGTTGGTATTGTTCGACACCAATAGAAATGTTCTGATTGAATGAATACGAGACAGAGTGGAAGGGAGTCAATGAAGATAGATGTACAATCAGAACAAGAGAAGGAAGGTTGAAAATAGAGGAACTTAAGGAAACCACAATGTTGGGAATGACAAAGAAGGAAGATGTTGCTTTTCTACTAAAGGTCCCGTTTGATCCAAGCCAATAGAAAACCCCACGAACACCAGCAACAATACAGACACATGGCTTAGACCGATTTATATATCGTCAAAAACCAACAACATGAAAGCATCATCAATTTGTCAGTTAACAACTAAAATAATGAGTTCAGTTACACAAATTATTTGACAATTAATGGAACTTTTTTGTCTCTTTCCAGAACATTTCACCTCTGTTTAAGTTCCCTTTCACTTGGCAATGTCTGGTAAACTGGGTTACGAAAACTGGGTTACGAAAAAAAGACTCAATTTCGGACATTCTGACGAATCAGAAATGTCATGTCTCATCTCAAAAAAGTAGCTCGTCATTTCCCATCTCACCGAGGTATCTTTTGATAAAATCATAAAAGGTTGGGATGATGAACTTGACACAGTACGGACCAGAATGTCTGGGATAATGCATTAGTTTCAGGGAACGACAGTACATTTAGTTCTAGACTTAATCTCATACAATTTAGCGTTGTCCAATCACATCAAGTAAACTGCAAAATGTCAACCAGTCACTGGCACCAAATAAGGCCGAAGTAAAGAGGCTGCTGTGATGTTCTTTGGTGTGAATTTTTGCCTTTTTTTGTGCTGCTGTTTTTTGGTTTGTATGTTCGAGAGTAGAACAAGGAAGCGAGCATTCTACAGAAACAAGGCAGCTTCCTCCGGTCACCAGCTAGTTGGAAGACTACCTCGAAGCTAAAGGACCAGTACTCTGCTGCTTTAGAAATTCTGGTAGTTCAGCCTCGTTCAGATTAAATTGCCCAACTATACTTTTTATCCCAGTTCTTCACCAGCAAGATCTTATTAGCGAAGCCAGGGGATTTTGTTTTTAAACAAACCGTGTTGGGCCTCACTTTTGCTCCACTAATCTCTTGCATGAGAAGCCCTAGAGCAGAGAGGAAGGCAGAAAGATGGGAACATTAGATTGATTATTTATTAGTGATGTAGGCTTTTATCCCAGCATATCTCACTGTGGTGGATAAGTAATGTAATAGACAGAACAAGCATGAAAAAGAGAGGAATAGAAGGGTATACAAAAGTGAAAGGCTAATGTTTAATATATTCACTACCACATGAATAAAATACCACACATTTATGTGACATGTATACTCAATAGCCTCTCATTATCAAATATGATATTGACCTTTGTGGTTCATAGGGGACATAGATTTTCACGCTTGCCTGCGAGTGAGTGTGCATCAGGAAGCGGTGGGAATCATATTTCATTTAGACGCACCGGGATTGATTTCAGAGACTCATCAGAGGGGATCAGCTGTAAATGTGCCATTACTGGTGATGGGCTCTGCCGCCAGTGTCTTAATCACAAATTCACAATTGTCAGGATGCAAGATCAAACAGAATGCATATGCATGATTTAACCATCCCAATCTCTATTCAGAAAAAGTAATCCGATCGTATTCATACATAAAATAATCTAAACGAAAATATAAAAAGAAAATACACAACCAGCTTCAGGGATACTTCAACTAAAACCCTGTAACATTTTCTCCATTCTATACCTGTCGAAACACTTCATAGACATGTTTTTTTATATATCTGAGACCTATAATATATGCCTAAAAATAGTATAATAGGAGACCTTTAACTAGACGAGCTGTATATGAGAATGTGAATATCCAAACCATTTTGGCCACACGTTAATCAGACTTGAGGCTTAAAGGTCTCCTATTCTGCAATTTTTAAGGCATATATAAGTCTCTTCTAAAAAATGCTTGCCTATAGCTTATTCATCCACAAGCAACTGGGTCCCACATACTGTAACCGTGTCAATAGTGTGTGTGTTGTTGTACTACCTAGTTAAAAAGCATCTCTCCATGTGTTCTCGAAACTAGTGGGTTGAGTGTTTATTGTACCTGGAATCTGTGAATCTCTCCTTCTCACTGTTGAAAGGTCAAGCTCATCACTCGCCAACAGTCTAGCATCAATGTGTGCACGGAGACTGAATACATTCATCCAGGCAATACAAAAATGTAAATAATCGAAGGAATGTGGATATTTATCATATGCCCCAAAATACAAAACATTTGTCTATACAAAACAAGATTTCATTTAAAAGATGCCATATAGCAATTTTAAGCATCAGTATATCTTGTCAAGTTGTCATGGATTAATTTTCAATTTGTGAAGGCCAACCTTGATCCAAAATTTGAGTTCAACTCTGAAATGTAAGTTGAATTACACAGGAAGGCTCACTCCTTTGAATTTTGATTTGAGTTTTTTTTTTCACCAGTCATTATCCTTTCATCTTACAAAATATTGTTTTTGTCTTAATGTCATAAAGCAATAACTCTATATGCAAAACAGCTTTACAGTTTGTTGTGTTTCTTACTTGATGACAGGTCTGTTTTTTTAGATGAATTCACTAATAAAATCTAGATAGCTGTTTCTAATGGAGTCAAGTTCATGTTTAATAAACGTGCGACTTAAGAATAAGATGAAGTTGATAAGAGTTTAAAGTAATTCAGGATCTTATCTTGTGGCCTGGGCCAGTTTCCTTATCAGCCAGCAAGTACTATCCTATAGTTTGATTTTGTTTCTTTGTTTTAACGACTCCTACAAATGTACCTAGGTTTCTCCACAGTACTAACATGGATGTCCAGCTTCTTGGACTAAATGTATGTAAAACCAAGGTAGTGAACCGAGCAACAACGTTAGCTAAACCGTGTAATTTAAGCGAATATCAAATAAAATTAAAAAAAACGAATTTCTCTAATGCTTGATATGTTTTTTTAGTACATGATCTTTTTAAGTTACTTAATGTAATTTACATTTGTTTTTTTAAACTATGTAGTAATATTAGCAAAAAATATCAATAAATACATTAGACCCACTCCACTTAGGAGACTGGAAAAGGTATACTATTACATACCATTTGCACAGCTTGCTGAATCGTTTGTTGTAAGCATCTTTGGCTATATTTTTGTTGGAAAATACTTTGTATGTTTTTGTCTAACATGGCTTTGGTGCATTTGTGTTACAAATGTGTTCTAGGACATATGTTGCTGTTCACCCGTTATTTATTTTTTCTATTGATTAAACACTAACTAAACCCAACATACTAGAATATAATAGAATAGAATAGTTTGATGTCATTATACATGTACAATGAGACAAATGCTTCTCCCTTTCAAGGGTGCCATCAAAACAAAACCAAACATCACAACATAAGACACCAAAATACACGCAGCATACATACTTAGGAATAAGGGATAAAGGAATAAAGAATAAAGTGCAGTAATTATTTCCAGGAGTATAAAAATAAAATCTGTAATGTAATAAATAATAATAATATTGTGTATTTATAATAATAATAATAGTAATGATATATGTATATGTACAGAGTCACATTGATTAGGGGCATGCAACACATTTTATGTGTAAAATGATTTACACATAAATTAACACAACACGTGTTGTCCCTGAGCACGCTCTGTAGGTGAGTTGAAATTCAACACATGTTGTTTCATTTTTGACTACAGTCCCTTCTAAGAGTGTATAGCACTTCAGTGGGTAGAGGAAATACAGCCAATGCGAGTGGTCATTTGCTCTGACTCCAGTGCAGCTCTGGAGAGTATAAACAACTTCTCTTCAGAATGTCGTCAGGATAATTTACATTGAAGCTTTTACACCATCATGTTTAAGGTTAGTTCATCTGGCGAATTGTTTTTCAATTGTTTGTGGGGTTCCAGCGATGGTGGGTATATAGGGAATGGAAAGAGGTGGGGTCAACTGGCAAAATGTGGTTGAAAGCAAACCGATTTGTTATTATGGTACCCCCCCCCCAATTCCGTCAGAGCTGAAGTCAATCTTTACAATAAGTGGTTCATCACGAAACTAATGGCAGAAACTATTGGGCAGTACACACCAAAGAAGACATTTTTTACCCAGATACAAAGGAGTAGGAACAGTGAAGCACATTGGGGAGTAGTAGAGAGAACGGCATAACAGCAGGATACTAAATTGGACACTCTGGATAATATCTCATCACTGATCATGATGG